CGACAAGTCCGGACACAAATGAGTTGGTCCCAAAAAAAAAAAAAAAAAACCTCTACAGTTTTGCAGCAATTCGGCTTCAGGCGCACATTCCTTTACGTTTTACAGAAACAAAACTTTAAATCATGTGGATCATTTGCATAAACTATAAAGTGCTGATAAAAACAGCTCGCTCCTTGTGCACTGATTTGGAGATGATTCATGCGAAACTTTTCAGAGATTATAAGTCTGCAGGTTGTACACACAGACCGTACAGCGGAGCAGCTTCGTATCTTACCAAAGTCGTACTAAAACATTTTGGTAATACGGTAATACCATATACCCGGTAAAATTCTGAAAAGGTTTAATGGTATCAAAATTTGGATACTGCCCAACCCTAGTCCAAACTGGTGCTGATTCTACATTCAGACTGCAGGACTTCATGCTCAATTTGTATTTTTTTTTTATGAAATACAATTTGATTTTTCAGTTTTTGATTTTGTGTTTAAATGAAAAATGGAAAAAAATGGATAATGGCCATTTCCCGTTTCTGTGACTTAAACAGCAATGCCGGACTTTTGCACTGCACAGAATTGAACCAGGACTGATCCCGCACCTTCCTTTCTAGGGACATTGCTACCGCTGTCCCACAAAACTCCACAGCCAAAAACCTCGTCCTTCTCCTGCTCAGCGTCTTCCTTAACTGAAATAAGCTGTTCATGTTCTGGCTCTGGTACAACAGCAACTTTAAAATCTCCAGGTGCTCAACGCTGCGTCCATGTGTTATCCATTTTTTCATTTTGGTTTTGGAGACAAATACTGAAACAAATTGTTGTTTTTTTTGTTTTCTTATTTTTGGTTTTATATTGAAAAACGAATGAAAGAATGATACACGGATTTACAACTCTCGCGGGAAGAAACACGAGTCGGCGTTGGACTGTGTTGGCTCACGACAGGTGCTTGTTCCTCTGTTAAGACGTGTTGGTGCGAAAAATGCGACCTAGCTGTTCATACTGAAGTCACATGTCAAAAGATCAGATATGTATCGGTTTTAGGAGCACATATCCGAGTGGCCTGGGTCACATTTGAAAAAAATCTGATCTGTGTCATTCAGACTGTCATTGGAGAGCAGATACAGGTCGCATGGGGTGAAAAAAAAAAATCAGATTTGGGTCACTTCAGGCTGCAGTCTGAACGTAGCGTAAAACTCAGCTACGGCACCTTTAAAAATTGCAATTATTAAAATGTCTTCCTCCAAAGTCTGCTCCAAACCGCAAGCTTTTACTGATATACGGATTTGATAGAGCTCTCCGTTAAAAGACCCAGGATGATCATTGACGGTTAGAAATGACTCCATCTCGAGCCCTTAAAACTCGGCTGATTGCCCTAAGTGCGCCGCGAAGCAAAGTAAGAAGAATGTAGAAATGTGCCGTAGAAAAGCGGGGAGGGCGCGAGGCCGTTTAGATGAGCCCACGGAACAGAATTAAAGTCATCAGTCAGCGCTGGACATTCCTGCGGGCGCTTATCATCAGGCTGCGAGCTAAGAACAGAGACACGAGCAGAGGCCTCGACATCCTACTGACCCACAATCCAACGGCACCGAGTCACCGGTCATTCTCGACACCACCGCGTCCGCTGCAACATGAGCTCGGCCCATTGCGGCGAGTGTAACATGCATGAAGACTGTTGAGTTGAGTCGAGCTGCGGGAGTAATCGCAAAACTGAGAAAGTTCTAGGCAGGACTGGGCAATATGGAAAAAAAAAAAAAAAAGAATCACGACATTTTTCCTCCATATTGATCGATCTCGGTTTTCGATTTAATCTTTTTCCATCATATTAAAAACATACACAGTTGGAGTTGAGGTAGGAGTGTGCAAAAATTTAAAAATATCGATATCGTGGGCTGCTGTATTGATATTAAGAAGCTACCGATATGATTAGTATCATATTGGCAGCTTCTTAATGATACCCAGCCCAGAAATTCACATTTAAAGTTTGGAATGAGTTTGTGCAATATATTAAACCTTAAAGGGATAGTTCAGGTTTTTTGACATGAATCTGTGTGTCATCCCCGTCAGCAGTGTGGTGCATCCACACTGACTTTACCTCCGAAGCGTCCGGTGAGCCCAGATCCTGGCCGGTTTTGGTGCTGAGGAAAGTAGTTCGGCAAGTTGGCTGGGGACAGTATAATAAAGCGTTTTTCTTCTCAAAACAACATGTGTTCAAAAGAGTGATACATTTGCGCCACAAAACCTCCGTCCTCTAAAAAGTCAGACCTCATAATTGCTTGGCGCTATTTTCTCTCCGTACGTATCACTGCACCGCTTGTTTCACTTTGTTTACTGCTCGGAATATTCGCCTCTTCTCTCTCTCTGCCTAATTTCGTCTAACTCTCTCTGGCGAATTTCGACATTGGTATATTCAGGTTCAAAAAGATCTCCCATTGGCTCTGTGCTAAAATCAGTTTCTTCATCATCGGTGTCGTAGTCAGACATGTTGTTGCTGACATTCCGAGCAGTTAACAAAGTGAAACAGGCGCGGCTGTCACCTGGCGGCCGCGCGCAGTGATACGTACGGAGAGAAAATAGCGCCAAGCGGATTATGAGGTCTGACTTTTTTGAGGACGATGGTTTTGTGGTGCAAATGTATCACTCTTTTGAACACATATTGTTTTGAGAAGAAAAACGCTTTATTATACTGTCCCCAGCCGAACTAGCTGAACTACTTTCCTCAGCACCAAAACCGGCCAGGATCTCGGCTCACCGGACGCTTTTGGAGGTAAAGTCAGTGTGGATGCAACACACTGCTGACGGGGATGACACACAGATTGATGTCAAAAAACCTGAACTATCCCTTTAAAGCATACACACGTTACAGATATCAACAAACACAAGCGATGTCCGTGCGCTAAATCAGGTCTTAAGTTTCACTCAAACCGTGAGAAAATAGTCGTTTACTTTCCATAACTTGGATTATAAAAATGAGAAGCACCAGAGGAGAAAAAGAGGAGAAAAGGTGAGGAACTGAACAGAGACTAAACTTTTAGTCAAATTATGTCTCCTCAGGTGTTCACAACTTAAATCTGCACAAAGAGACGCTCTGTGCCTCAGGATACTTTTTCCTAAACATGAGCGTAAATCCTCGTCAGCTCCACGCACTTTTACTGCCACATGATTGGCTGGAGAATAAAATGTGCTCGTCTTATCATCGAGATCGACCAAAGTAAAGATCGCAATCCATCAGTGTTTCGATTTTTCAGTTCCAGGTACAATTCAACACTTATTTCAATATTGATACTAAAATAAAGTCGGGATAATTTTGGTTTGTAGCAAAATTACTATGTGTTGAAAATGACGTTCTGTTGCGTGAGAGAAGTTGTAGTTCCTTTTTCTCAGAATCAAAAGTGAGTCTAAAATTGTTTTATCGAACGAATGCAAATTTAAAGCCAGAGTATGTAATATTTCAGTCACATTTCAGCAGCTTGCACCTCCACAAACCTGACTTTTTAGCAGGAGGCCAAACGTTTCCATGAAAATGTGATTCCTTTGGCTTCAATATTTCATAGTAGGGCATAAAAAGTACATCTATCTATCTCTCTATGTTCCGAAATATGGCTTAAACTTTCCATTTCTATTTGTGATCATGCAGGTGACGTGCGCCACCTTTAGAGAGTCACATACTGCTGCTTTAAATCAGTTTGAATTTTCAAGATTAGCAAATGCAAATTACAGCAAATGTTGTAAATATTTAAGGTACACTGTGTAACTTCTCTGGTGGAGGACCCGTCAAATGCTTGTCTCCATGGATCTGTGGAGAAGAAAGCTAGAAAGTAGGGCTGAACGGTTTTAAGACAAAACTGAACTGCAATTTTTCTGTCAGATACTGAGATTTCGATTTCATCCATGTTTTTTTTCACATCAAGTTTCAGTAAAGCCCATTTTATGGTCCAGCGTCAACTCATCTGCCTCACAATGCCGAGTGTGTCGAGCGACGTGCATCGACGCAGACAATAAGGTGATTGGTCGTCTCTACCACTGCTCTACAGACATTTCCTATACTCCGCTTTCCTTTCTTTCAATTTACATTGAGTAATAATGTGTTTAATGCAGCTTTGCGCACATTTGTTTACGTTTTACAGAAACAAAACTTAAAACCACATGACTCATTTGCATAAACTATAAGCACTGAAAAAAACGGCTCGCTCTTTGTGCACTGATGCGGTTCAGCTTCTGTCGGACTAAAGGACACGACTCAGTGGAATATGAGTGTTTTTTCTGTGACAGAGGATGTGCTGCTGATGGTGAGTCTGTTCTGTGCTTTTTATTGCGTTGGAAATGGTTCAGGTTAAACTTTACACAAATGCCAGGTTTAAATCTTAACCTCCCCGTACTGTGGCAGTGAATTACTTCGAGGCGCATAGACCTTGACGCAGACCCTTAAATCCATAAATCAGGCTTTAGAAGCACTGCAAAAAAAAATAAAAAATTTAAAAAATCGCAGGTTTGACTTTCCCAAAATCGTGTTGTCTGAGATCGCAATTTTCTGTCCAAAACGATCATTCAGCCTTACTAGAAAAGTTATTTTTCTGCGATAAAACAACCTGTAATTGCATAAATGTAAACTGTTTAATGTCATACTGTGGAACATTCCAAGCAGAGCAGTGGCATATCCATAGAAACAAGCAGGTGACTGTCCTCCCACCAGAAAAGTTACACAATGTGCCTTTAAGAAACAATTTCCTCCCCCAAAACATCAAAATCTTACATATAAAAGCTGCAAACCCTGTAGTTTAGACCTCTTAAACATGCTTTTTATTGTTTTCCCAACATTGTAAAGTGTGATTCCCACATTTACAGCCTAAATCCATCTTCTAAATCAAACAAATCACTGTCGCTGAATTGTTTGAACCACGTCTAAACCAAACCAAGCCAGGACAGAAAATAAAAACATTAAATTGGGTTAAACTCGCTTTAATTGCAATCAACAAATTAGTAGACCAGTCAAACGTCTTTCGCGCGTCTCACCTGCTGACAATTCTTCTCTTTGTTCTTGTTCTGACAATTATCAAAGTAGATTTTTAATGACAAGACTAACTGCTTCTAGGAACAACCATTATCTTGTACGATTTTAGATTTAAGCTCTCCTTGTTTAACCTTGAATTTTTTGTGCAATGGTTTATCTCTGACTACAAACATCAAGACTGTTATGTGGAACAATTAGTGAATGATTTCAATTTTAGTTTTGCATCTTTTGGCTATCAGAAGAAACAAAATTCAGAGATCGTTTGACACTCACCTCCCCCTTCATCATGCGGACGCGGGCCAGCCACCATCCACACGGCTCCTGCTCGTTGGCCCTGGAGTAGACCTACGGCACAAAAACACACAGTTAAAACAGAGAATCAATGACTTCGTACAGATTTTCACGCTTTTCGGTGGGATAGTATCTGTAGTAAATATATATTGTAGTTTAGGCTGCGTTCAGACTGCAGCTTGAAGTGACCTAAAATCAGATTTTTTCGCCCCTTTGCTCCTGTATCTGATCTCTGAGGCTATGTTTATATGATGACGGTCTGAACAGAAGACGTAAAAGTGGCGCCGCGTCTTCAGTTCACTCTTTCCCCCGTGAAGACGACATTTGACGATCCCCCTTGTGTTTTGACACCTCCGCTGTATCACTGAAGACGTGATTTGACGACCATTAGAAACGGTTTCGGTTTTTCACATGTAAACAGAGACTGCGATAGGTCAATGGAGGGTGTCCCAGGTGTGTGAAAGGAGCAACACAAGGAGATCAGGAAACGAGGCACGGACAGCATTAACAATCCGTGTATCATTCGTTCATTCGTTTTTCAATATAAAACCAAAAATAAGAAAACGAAAAAACAACAGTTTTCTTCGTTATTTGTCTCCAAAACCAAAATGAAAAAAATGGATAAAGAAAGTTTTACTCGCGAGGAGAACGGGCAGAGAGTGGGCATCAGACCAACAGTCTCCACACGTTCTCCTCGCGAGTAAAACTGAATTAATCTCTTGTCTTTCTTGTGTTTAATGTTTAGATAAACCTAACAGTATCTATATACAGGCTCTGGTCTCTCGCTCTGGTCCGCTCTGGTCTGGGCCTGGATCAGTGTAATTCACTGCCGAACAACGGTGAAGAAAGTGATGGATCGCAGTTGCGCGGCTGTCACTAAACGGAAAAACGTTATCCGTTTTTTTCGCATTCTTCAGTGGTAAACACAAAATCGAAAACTGAAAAAAGCGCCAAGCGATTATGAGTGCTCATTTTGGTTTTGGAGACAAATAACGAAGAAAAACTGTTGTTTTTTTTCACTCTTTTGAACACATTTTTGCTTTGAAGAAAAAACGCTTTAGTGTACAGTCCCCACACAACTTGAAACTACTTTCCTCAGCACCAAAACCGGTCACGATCTCGGCTCACCGGGCGCTTTCGGGGGTAAGTCAGTGTTGATGCACCAACACTGCTCACGGGGATGACATACAGATTTATGTCAAAAATCCTGAACTATCCCTTTAACCATGATGACGCGCGTTCCTCCTTTCACACACCTGGGACACCCTCCTCCAGAGACACCGGGCGACGGGAGGCGTGGTCAGTCTGAGCGACCTGCAGGTCCATCAGGCTGACCACGCCTACAGGAAGTAACAACAGCTGATATACGACACGTCACCACCAACACCGGTGACAGTTCTGAAGATGGCTCGCAGCTAGCAGCCGAAACATGTCAACAAGGTAAACACACTTTAATGCATTGTTTTTAAAAAGAACCCAAGAAGTTTCATTTAAACAGGCCATGAGTGACAGTCTGAACGACACAGATGAGTTTTTCAAATGCTGTACAGATGATTCTTTGTCTTTTTATTATTATTATCAAAAGGGTATTTCTCAAAGTGTATTTCTCATGGGAAAACCAACTTCTCATTAACTGTTATCTTCCGCAAGGACAGTCCTCCCTACGCACATTCCTCCCTACATCCACCTTGATACAAACCACTCAGCAGCTGGCACACACACATTCTTCTTTGTAATACTGTGATAGAAAAATGTAACCGCCCGTTCATTCTTGTAACCTGTGTGATTCAATAAATACTTGGCGTGGGACGGTGTCTCTTCGGCAGTTAAGAGCTGCAGCGGCGCCTCTGTCCCTCGCCGCGAGTAAAAACCCTGAATTCTGCCTTCTGAGTTTCTTTGTGTTAATATCTCTGTTATTTTCTGACAGTGACCCAGACCAGACCCAGATACGTGCATCTAAAACCGACACATATCCGATCTTTTGACACACGCGACTTCAGTCTGAACGGCCAAGTTACATTCATCCTACCTAAACATCAGGCTCAGTCTCGTCGATGGAGGGAAAGTGAGGTTAACGAGTTTATTCATATCATCGCTGTTTTCAGGCCAAATTGGAGGAGTTTTATCAAAGAAACAGACGGTCCTGGCTCCAACGTAAACGAAAAATAAAAGAGCCTGCGAGCCAAATACAAGGAGGTTAAAGACTGAAACAAACGAAGTGGCCCTGAATGTGTAACCTGTCCATTTTACCAAGAACTGGACCGGATTTGGCGACTTCCGTAGACACTTTTGGGGCATTTAAAGTTCACACATAGAAGTCATATTTAATTGGAAATGACTGAACTGAAATGGACTGAACGTAGCCTTAGTTTCACATCAGCCAAGTGACAGATCATCGAAAGAAAATGGTAGAAAAAAAAAAAAGTACAAAAAAATAAAAGAAGCAGCGGTGAGTTCTAAAACTGAACCTCTCCAATTACGTCATCAACACAGAAAATTACACCGAAATGCAGCGACAATTTACGCACAAGGAAGGATTTTTTTCTCTTAATTATGTTTTCATTCCAACTAAATTAAAGTGTTGTTTAAATTGCACAAAAGCTGTATAATTTTAGAAGTAGAAGCATCATTTTACACATCACCAAATTCAAAAACTAGGTATGTTTTTATTTATTTTTTTACAAAGATCTACAAAACGTTATTTCTTTCAGTAGTTTGGGAATAAGTGTGCAGGCTTTGTCTCATTTTCTATGTTTTTAGCTCTAAGAAGATGGAGCTCTTGCAAAATAAATAAACTTTTGCCATTCGCATGTTGTGTTGTTTTGATTTAAAACACGCTTCATCATGTCACAGAGTTTTATTTGCACCGTGATTACTGCCCTGTTGACTCGTTTGGCTGCTCCCATTCACAAAAATAGACTGGAACATTTATGTACGATGAGAGAACAAACCAGTAAACAAGTCAATTATTGTCGGTGAATACATGATGTTCATGTCTTAACTAAATTGTAACAGATTTTGAACCACGAGCGCGGAACATGTTTCAGAATAAGACGCGTTTCACCATCACGTCAAGTCTGGGGTTCAATTAATATGTTCATTTTACAGAAAAGAGCACTACGGATAATTCATAACGTTGGGTTTTATGCTCACGCCAACCAGCTTTTTATCACTTCAAAAATTTTAAAACTTAAGGATCTGATAAGTTTCCAGACAAAAATATTCAGAAACAAAGTGCTTCACAATGTCCAGAGTCCAAACAACGAGGAAAAGTTTTTGTATTTCAGTTTGTGGGTTAAAAATCAGCTCAAAAAATGACCATATATGAACAATTTTAAACGAAGGTATGAAGAAATGATTATAGTTAAGTGTGCAGAAGAAGGAATTTAACTTTATTTGTCATTTGAATGTGCACTAAAACATTTTGAAGTGCAGTTATTTGTTTTGCATCTGTGAATTACTATTCTAAGAGCCTGACAGAAGCACATTTGGAGATTATATTTGTGATTAGTGATGTTAAATAATTGCCTTTTATGTATCTGCTGATGACTGTTGGAACATAATGCAGTTTATCATTTATGAAATATCCAAATAAACTTATTGTTGTATATGTTTTTAGATTGAAAATGAAAATCCATACTTTTTTTTTCATGAGTAAAGACATTTTCAAGAGCAAATGATGCTCTTTAGATGTTTGATTGATTTTCAACAAAATGCAAGCTTGTATGAGTAGTGTTATTTGTGAGGGACTTGCTCATCAGCTCTGTTGTAGTTCCAACTTTGTCAGTTTTCGTCAGACTGTGCTAAAATAAAGCTCTAGGTGTGTATTCGTGCATGCGTGCTGAACAGTTTCGGTACGGGACATTTGGTTTGGTGCGCAATTTGTGTTTACATTTCGCCGCTACATGTGCAGCTACACCGAGGTTCGGCTCTTTAATATTCACGTGCGAACTTGTCCATGATCGGGGCAGTGTTTCCCGCAGTGCTTTATAGTTAGAGCAGCTGCAGCCAACACTTGCCCCTTGTCTTGACTATGTCCCTCCGAAACACGTGAAACCCTGCAAAACTATGGCTGTCACGGCACGATCCTCACCCTCGCCTTTCGCCGTCACGGAATCTCCGCTCAGAATATTTTATTTAACTTATTAGTACTACCGAGCTAGCCTGATTCATCAGCCGGTTTCACTTCGTAGAAACGGTCTCACCTCACAGCATTAGAATTCGTTCGGTTGATAATAGGCAGGTACTTTTTTGCATTTAACCAGTCACTGCTGTTTGGTCGTGACGTATGTAATGCTCCAAATCCCGTAGGAAGAACAAAAAAAATGTCTTTCCCCTTGATAAAATTCAGCAAACATTCTTTTTGTTTCGTCTTTAAATCCTCGATCTCGGGAATCGTTGCCAACACAGAATGTTTGGCTCTTCGCTGATTGGCTGGTGCCTGAACTCGCACTTCTGCGGTTTTTGCGAACTGTCTAGTGTATTCTGATTCCTGACCTAGTCTCTGGAGAGAAATGAAACTGAGCAGAGGCACTAGGTGGCGCCAGCCTGGCTACTACCAAGCAGCATTTTGCATTTATTTTATTTTCCCGTTTGTATAATGTTAAAACAAATTGCTGGTTTAATAAATACACAAACAAACGACAAACAAATGGTTTTTGCATTTTGTTCCCCAATGTACTGAAAATGAACTGGACCGTGACTTTAAAACCATGATTTTTGTACCATTACACCCCCAATACAGCTCAGATTAAAGCCTAACTTATTATTATAAGTAACATTTAAATACATAATATCTATGATCTATAATTTCATAGATCAGTGTTCTCTAAGACATTATATTAGGAAATTATAATTACATGTATGTGTTTGTAAATCTTGCTTGAAATGCCGTTTGTTCTTTTGACACGTCTGACATCTTATTTCGGGGACTGTCACTGTGTATTAAATGTCAGAAACACAATAAACTGTCACTTATACAGTACACACAGTAAGTCGCAAGTGAAACTGTAAATGCAAACTTCCTGCTTTTCTTTCTTGGTATTCTGTAATTGTTTAACAGGGTTGGGACTTATAAGTGCTTTTTACTTCAGCCTAAACCCTTTTGGTTGTAATCAGTGGGATTGTAGTCTATGTTTTGTTTTGTTTTTGTTTTGTAGTACTGCAAAATGACCAAATAAACTACTACTAAACAAAAAAAATAATAAAATAAAAAACAACTAGAACAAACAAAAGAGCAGGTTCAGCCTTTAAAGCTTTAAATTGCCGTTTTCTGCTACAGTTTATATTAGACTGCCGCACTCACTGCCGCTTTTATTCGATATCAACAACCAACAGCTCTCACAAGAGTCTCTACGACGACATAAAAACACGCCACGGTAGCACAGGGATGAGTCAGCGTCGATGTTAAATTAATAACGTTTTCCATTTACCAAACTAACCCCCTACGAGTCACAGTAATACAGAAAGAACGCGGCACAGTCATGTTAACCACTGATTCATTAACACATTTCCTTTTACAACGGAAATTATGACTCACAAATGCAACTTTAACTTCGTATTTTACAAAATTTCCAGATATTCCATGATAGAAATTGTGGTGTCTAAAATTTTAAAAGCATAAGTGACATTAATGTAGTTACACAAACTGATTACTCATTATCATCATGTCATTGTCAAAACTTAAAAGATGGACTGAGTTACTTTTCTGCTGGAAGATCTGTGGCCTGTTTTCATGGAGAGGAGAATGTTCCGCAGTATGGCATTAAACTTATCCATCTCCATATCTGTTATAATGATGGATTTTTCAGCAAAAAAAAAAACAGTTTTGTGAGTGAGTTTTGTGTTATTCTGAAAGTTATTTACCTCCATTTTCATATTAAAACTTAAAAAAACGCAACTCTTCCCTCTTTCGATGTGCAGTGACATCGCGCTGGGGATGTTCTACATGCATCTCTAGTGGTGGTGTATTTAGTTACTATGGTGATGGAATGTACACACTGCACTGCACTCACAAAAAGGTTTTAAGGGTCTGTTTAAATGAGAACGTTTGCGGGTAAAAACGCCAAAATATTTTATCGGAAGTGCCTTTTGTTTAGACGGTGACGGCGTTTTTGGGGTTTAAAAACGCTAAAATCTGAAACCACCCTCCAGAGTCGTAGCGTTTTCTATCTACACTGCCCAAGACGCAAAACTCTGGTCAGATCTGCTCAGGTCGCGTACGCGTTTACGTCACATACATGCAGTACACAGAAATCTGGCATGCATAGGTTCCATTTGGGAAAACCCAGACACTTTACCGGGGATGGGACCTCGGGACCTCGACACTGAGCTACTCTCACCTCGCAAACTCTGCACATGGCCTCCCACTTGTCTCAGCCGGGACGGAAAACTGAGAACTGCTTGTACAAGTCAATGTTAAATCCACATTCGGCATGTTGCAGACTGACCGACTGTTTGTGTCTGCTCGCTCCTTCTGATGCACAAAGAGCTACGAGAGACGCTCAATTTAATGGCCCAATGAAAGGAAATGAAAACCCGGACATTTCCATCACTTTAAAAAAAACAAACAAAAAACAGATGCCCACGTCAGGAAAAAGAAAAAATTGACATGTTCGTGGAAAAACGCACATTTGGTCACCCTAGGCATGCACCCAATCGAATTCCTACACACTTTTGCAGTCACCATATGCACGCAGATTTCCTCCCGAAAACGCTCGTCTAAACGCGGAATAAAAAGTGAAGACGCGACGCCACTTTGGTGTCTTCTGTTCAAACCGTCGTCATATAAACGTAGCTTAAGATGGTCTTGTTTGATACCGTGTTCTATACCGTGCCATCTCTAGGGGTGTGCAAAAATATTTAAATATCGACATATCGTTTAATGTGCTGATACAGTATCGATATCGTGGGCTGCTGTATCGATAAATCTGTATTTTTTGGTATATTTTAATAAATTATTTTGTTACAGCTACAGTTTTGTTGTTTGTTCAGAGAAAGGAAACTCATTTATGCGACATATTTGACATTTTCACTGTTTTGACGATTAAAATGTTTGTGTTTCTTAGGCTTCGTTCAGACTGCAGGACTTAACGCTTAATTTGGATTTTTTTGCGAGGTCGTTCACGTTTCCATTTAAATCAGACTTGTTTGTGATCTCCAGTGTGAACTTTAAACGCCCCAAAAGTGTCTCGCATGCACCTGGAGATTTTAAAGTTGCAGTCGTACCGAAGCCAGAACACGTACAGCGTATTTGTTTTAAGGAGGAGATTGAGAAGGAGAAAGACGAGGTTTTCGGCCGTGGCGTTTTGTGGGACAGCGGCAGCGACGTCCGTAGAAAGAAACGCGTGGGTGTGGTAGGACTGAAATGTTCAGGCACAGCTTTTGTCTGACGAGAAGAACGTTCGTGTACATTTGTGACGTGTAGGTGGGATGAATGTGACCTGACCGTTCAGACTGAAGTCGCACCTCAAAAGATCAGATATGCATCGGTTTCAGGAGCAAATATCCAAGTGTCCTGGGTCGCGTTTGAAAAAAATCGGATGTGTGTGGTTCAGACTGTCATTAAAAGATCAGAAACAGGAGCATGGGGCGAAAAAATCGGATTTGGGTCACTTCAGGCTGCAGTCTGAATGTAGTCTTTGTAGTCACTTTCCACAAGAAGTGTTCTAACAAAGACTCTCAGTATCACATCATTATTTAACCTTTATTTTTATTGAACAGTATTGAATCGATGGTATGAAGGTATGAATCTTATAGGCAAATTGTTAATAACCCCAGCTGTAGCCATCCCCCCAGACTCACCTCCACCTCGTCCCCTTCGCCGATGTCCTTGTGGTAGTCTGCCGGAGGAGGCAACCGCACGTCGCTGAAGGGCAACTGTCGCTCGGGCTGCCAGCTGACGGAAACAACACAACAGATCATTTACACGTCTGCGAAACCATTAAAAGAGCATCGTGGAACTTTTCCGGTGAACGGTGCGTCAGACGCTCTCGTCCGTGGAGATGTTACTGCTTTGTCTGGAATGTTTCACGGTATGGTAATTCATTAAACCGTTCTATCTTCACCGAGATCAAACCAGATCAAGTTACAGGTCGGGTCTGTGGAGAAGCGACCCGGCTCACAGACAGAACACCTGTTTTTCTAGGTATTTTTGAGTTATAAAACCACCTGTACTTGAATAAATGTAAAGTAGAGCTGTTTAATGTCACACTGTGGAACATTCGAAGCAGAGCAATGACGTATTCAAAGAAACAAGCAGGTGACAGACAACAAAACAAAAAGTTATGTCGTAGTAGGAGTGTTAGTGATAGTGGTAATAGTAGTTGTAGTCGTAGTAGTAGTCATAGTCGTCATAGTTGTAGTATTAGCGGTCGTAGTAGCAATCATAGTAGCAGTCGAAGTAGCAGTAGCAGTTATAGTAGCAGTGGCAGTCATAGTCGTAGCAGTAGACGTAGAATTAGTCGTAGCAGTAGTAGTTGCAGTAGTAGCAGTAGTAGTTGCAGCAATAGAAGTAGCAGTAATAGTAGTAGCAGTAATAGTAGTAGCAGTAATAGTAGTAGCAGTAGTAGTCGTAGTCACAGCAGGAGTAGTCGCAGTAGTAGTCGAAGTAGTCGCAGAAGTAGTTGTAACGGTAGTTGTAGTAGCAGTAATAGTAGCAGTAATAGTAGCAGTCGCAGAAGCAGTCGCAAAGTAGTCGCCAAAGTAGTCGCCAAAGTAGTCGCCAAAGTAGTCGTCGCAGTAGTCGTCGTCGCAGTAGTCGCCGTCGCAGTAGTCGCCGTCGCAGTAGTCGTCGCAGTAGTCGTCGCAGTAGTCGTCGTCATAGCAGTAGTAGTCATAGCAGTAGTTGAAGTAGTAGTCATAGCAGTAGTCGTCGTACATTTACACATAGCCAAGTATGTTGAGAAACAAATATTTCCCTCCCTCTGTTTTCCAAAATAACATCGTGCACACTGCATCGTTTTCAAAAAAGTTTTCATGTACATCGACCCACATAACTAACTACATCATCGAGCACCGTCATAACTTTACACGCAAACGCCAAACCAGAGTTTTCCAGAATCTCCACTCTAGCCGGAGTTTAGAAAGAGTAGTTTTCAGGAGAATTTTCCGTTTGTGTGTAAAAGATGTGTACAAATGAAGGGAAATGTGTCCGTTTTTAAAAATACATAGTCGTAGTAGTTTATTTTCTTCAGTCATGTACTTAATAGACTGTCTGACAAACGTTTCACATAAAACTGTTACTATGATGGGTCGCGGCTGGAGTGGAATCACTTCTGAATGCCAAACTTCACAAAAGATGCCAAGAATACGGCGGTCGGCAAACAACAAGCAACGACTTGGACAGAACAGAGAAAAATATGTATACAATAATAATAATAATAATAACAGTACTCATGAGTCCACTGCTAGTTGTATATTTTTGTTTTTCATTCTTGTGCTCGTTTTAAATCTGTAAAGGATGTAACTCACCAAAACTTTACCCTTTTTGCTTCAATACAAATGTCAACACAACGAAGGCCATTTTTCTGATTATTTTGTTAAATTAATGTTAAAACTGACTAATAAAAATAAACAACAACACCTTTAATCATAACTCTTTAGCAATTTAGACAAGTTTTGACAGTTATGAAAATGCCTTTGTGCTTTTTTCCTGGCAGCTTTATCTTTAATTTAACCAAATAAAAGAGTTGTCATTCATTTTTATTGTCCTAATCGTAACTACTTTGCAATTTAGTTAGTTTTGACCCCTGTTATAAACTTTCAGTGTTGGGAGTAACGTGTTATAAAAGTAACGAATTACTGTAATGTGTTGCTTTTTGCTGTATCGCAGTAATGTGGCGTTACAGGGAAAAAAATTGTAATATTTTACTGTGTACAAATGTGAGTAACAAGCGTCACAATGCTTTTTTAACCTGGATTGAAGCGGTGGGTTTTTCGTTTTTCTTCATACAAATTCGCTAAAATCGCCGCGATGTTAGCAGAGGTGAAACGCTGGAGAGTGCAGACAGGGTGTTTGCAAAGCGCTTCCTAGTTCTAGTCCATGATTGGTCCTGGTTTGGTCCTGGTTTGGTCCTGGTTTGGTCCTGGTTTGGTCCTGGTTTGGACCTGGTTCGGTGCTGGTTTCTGTCCTAGTTTAGGCCTTGTTCAGTCCTGGTTCAGCTCTGGTTTAGACCCGGTTTAGACCCGGTTTAGACCCGGTTCAGCCCTGGTTCAGCCCTGTTCAGTTCAGTTCCTGGATTCAGTCCTGGTTCAGTCCTGGTTCAGACCTAGTTCAGACCTAGTTTAGACCTAGTTTAGACCTAGTTTAGACCTAGTTCTCAGTTCAGTTCACCTGGTTCCTGGTTCAGTCCATATACGGCGCAACAGTTCAGCATCTTCGCAGTTATTTTGTTGAGAGTAAATTAAATTAAATTAAAGTAAATTGTAATATTTTACATTTTAAACACAGTAATATTATAATGTAACTAATTACTTTTAAATGACAAACACGTCATAAATAAATAACACATTACAGTTTTAAAGTCACTTGCCCAACAGTGTAAACTTTCCACCAAAATTTAAAAACCAGGCAAGATTTGTAGTTAAAAAAAAGTAAATATATGAATAAATCTGTAGCTAAACTCGTCGTGTGCACTTTAAAAAACTATCAGTGCTGCCCAAGACCTCATGATAATAAAACGGGCTCGGTTCATTAAGTCTAAGTAGAAAACTCAAAGAAGTGTGACAGTGGAGAGGAGCGCTCGTCTCGTGCTCGGGAACTTCAGACGAGTGGAAACAGGGCCGTGAAATCTCGACTTTGAGAAGGTGACATTTGACGGCAGTTCGTAAAATACAAGAGAAAAACGCTGGTGTCAAAATTCTAATGAGGTTCTTTCTGAAATGGGCCGTTTTCGTGTGCGGGAAAGAAAGTGTCGATTAAAAATGAGGTCGTGTGAGAACATTTAGCCACTTGTTGTTAAAATAAGTGAAAGTTTACTAAGAACAATCACGGGGAACACTCATGGTCGCTCATTGAAAGATAAACCTCAGTTATAATACTCCCTACAACAAAAAATATAGCTAGACTGGACAAGACTGGACGATACAATATTATCTCAATATCTCCAGGTCCTGTACAAAGTAAAAAGTGGAGGGTTAAAATTTCAGGGTGAAATATTTCAGAGTTGTTTTTAACCACAAAAAGTGTTATTTTAACTATTTGAAAGTTAAATGGAGGTTCGAGTTGGGGTTATTTGCCAGATTTGATATGGTTGAAGTTAATTCAACTTCCCCTCTAGTGTAAATTCAACTTCCCCTCTAGTGTAAATTCAACTTCCCCTCTAGTGTAAATTCAACTTCCCCTCTAGTGTAAATTCAACTTCCCCTCTAGTGTAAATTCAACTTCCCCTCTAGTGTAAATTCAACTTCCCCTCTAGTGTAGAGCCCGACCGATAAGGATTTTGCTGTGGTCGATATGAAACCGATATAATGGGAGTTGGAGCTGCCAATAGCCGATATAATCGCCGATATATTTAGTGATGTAAAAATTCACTGTAAATGTTGAATTGTTTAAAAAACTCAGGTTTGGCTCTGGTGGATTTTAAATTGGGTTTATTTAGGCAACATTTATTGTTATTCTGCCTCTTTACATCATATTTACAGACAGTAGTTCGGCTTAATGGCATTTTTGCATCACATTCTAGACACTCGTGATGGGTGTTCCAGTTCTTTTTAGAGAGAACCGGCTCTTTTGGCTTGGCTCACTAAAAGCTGCTGCTTCTTTTGGCTCCCAAGTGGCTCTTCAGATTGTTTTGTTGCAAGCAGGACTAAAGCAGGTCTAAAGCAGGACTGAATCAGGACTGAACCAGGTCTAAACCAGGACTGAAAAAGGACTAAACCGGGACTTATTTATTTTATGCTAAACTACAGTCAAATATGCTCGTTTTTTTATCTTTATTTTTTTTAATCCTACGTACACGCAAATTTCTCAAAGTTTCGTTTTTAGCCGCTGCCGCTGTCAAACCACGAATCTGCACGCGGCGTGAAGAGAAAAAAAAGTGAGAGAAAGAGAAAACACGGCTCCCAATAAGGATCAGGCTCCCGTCGTTCGCTTCAAAGAGCCGGTTCTAAGAGTCATTTCGTTCGCGACCGACCCATAACTAGTAAAGAAACTAGCGCTATTATTCTTTAGCCGTAAATACGTGCGCGCCGCGGTAATTAATTATATGCGAAAATGTCATAATTCACACGTCTATTCACAGCTCATTTACATATCAGTGCAGGTCCAGTAGCAAATATACGGCCAATATAGTCACTTTACAATAGACCAATAGAAAACAGTCTGTTTATGTGCGGGAGCTACAGCAGCTAACCCATAACAAATGACAAAAACTAGCTTCAGAGTCGACATATTTCCAACACTCACCGCTCACACAGGCTCCTCCCACATCACAAATCTGCACTAATAAATGTCCTTTTAATCCAGACTCAAACCGATTGTCCGTAAAAAGAAAATAATCTCAGTGTTTGGATCTGTGTCTGCAGGTGTAAACAAACACACGTGAGTGACGCGACTCTGTGGTGTGTTCAGGGACAGTACGGACACAGACAAATGACTCCGTAGATAAATACTGATGTGGAGCCACATATTAGGACATTTATCTGTCTGTAAATTGGATTAAATGAACAGAATGTAGAGAGTCTAAGCTTTATAACGAGGTATAACATGCCCACGTGAAATATCGGCCCCTATCAGCAAGCATATCGGCCGATAGCCGATATGCCTAAAGTTGTCCATATCAGCCGATAATATCGGCCAACCGATATATCGGTCGGGCTCTACTCTAGTGTAAATTCAACTTTCCCCTAGTGTTAATTCAACTTGGGATTTTTGGACTAAAAACTGTATTATGGATTTTAGTTACCACATCGAGCCTCAGTTGCACTTTGAATTCTTAATATTTAAATGTTCTGAAAGTTGATGGGGAAAATGAACGGGCAGTTTTACTTTTTGACTTGACCTGAAACGTGACACTGACTGAAATAAAAATTTGGGAGATTTAAAGAACTACAGTCCAAATCTCTTTCTTCTTTGGCTCTAGAGCTGCTCGAAAAAAATCATTATCGTTATCATTATAAATTAAACCAGAGAGAATAAAATATCAAAATTAAAATAGGCACCGAGACTTTTTTGATTGGCGTTATTTGAAATAAACGTTAAATTAAATAACGGAGGTGGAAATCTGTTTTTTTGTTTGACATTAAAACGGAAAAATAAAAAAAAAAGTTTTCTGAATTTTTTTTTGTTTTTCGTCTTCAATTGAAATTCAAAAAAACGAATGGTACACGGACACCTTATTTTGCACATTTTACTTTGGGAATAATCGTGGGTTTCAAAGTGCGCAGCAGGAGGACACTATAGATGAAAAAATATATAAAATTTCAATTAAAAGTCAAATTCTTTTATCAAACTTGTCAAACTTCAAATCTTTTCCAAATCCTGTCCCACCATGTGCTCTGGAAAGTTCAGGGCAGCGTGGTTTGGGAAGGACCCCTCCTGAAATGGACTCTCCCTTCCTCCCTTCCTCCCGCTCGGGTGCACATACCTTTGGGGGACTATTTTTGGGACACCCTAGTGGAGCAGATAAAAGCGGGTTGGGCGGACGGGCGGGGGGGCGGGGGGGGGAGGGGAGGGGGTGTGTGTCCTGTGTCGGTCTCGCGAAGGGACAGGAGGCGGAGCTCAGGAGAGACGTGCGCGGACAGCTGCGTGCCAAACAGGTGACACCGGCCTCCAAATCGGGCGACGCTGGGCCCAACGTGGAGCGAAAGAGAGAAAGAGACAGAGAGAAAGATCGTAGAGAAAGAAAGAGAGGACACTTACTTGTTCTCAAAGACGATCGTGAGCGAGTCGTCGTGGACATCTTTGATATAACCCTGAAAGGAAAGCACACAAATGAGATTTAGTTTTGTTTGTTCCGGAAAGAGGTTTTGGGTTTCACTGACCCCTACAGAAGCAGTATTATTATTATTATTTAGACCGAAACCCGCAAAGAAACATTTTAAATCTACTTCTCAAGCGTATAACATGGAAATCCGTGTATTGTTCGTTCATTCGTTTTTCAAAATAAAACCAAAAATAAGAAAACGAAAAAAAACAACAGTTTTACTTCATTATTTGTCTCCAAAACCAAAATGAAAAAACAGATAACGATTCATTTTTTCAGTTTTCGATTATGTGTGTAAATGAAAAATGGAAAAAACGGACAATGGCTGTTTCCCGTTTCCGTGACTTAAACTACTGGACTGAACCAGGACTGAACGAGGACTGAACCAGGACTGAACCAGGACTGATCGAGGACTAAAACAGGACTGATCGAGGACTAAAACAGGACTGATCGAGGACTAAAACAGGACTGAGCCAGGACTGAAGGAGGACTGAGCCAGGATTAAAACAGGACTAAAACAGGGCTAAAACAGGACTAAAACAGGACTGAGCCAGGACTGAGCCAGGACTGAGCCAGGACTGAGCCAGGACTGAGGACTGAGCCAGGACTGAGCCAGGACTAAAACAGGACTAAAACAGGACTAAACAGGACTAAAACAGGACTAAAACAGGACTAAAACAGGACTGAACCACGACTGAACCACGACTGAACCACGACTGAACCACGACTGAACCACGACTGAACCACGACTGAACCACGACTGATAACGACTGATCCACGACTGAACCAGGACTAAAAAAGGACTAAAACAGGACTGAAGGAGGACTAAAACAGGTCTGAGCCAGGTCTAAAACAGGACTGAGCCAGGACTGAGCCAGGACTGAGCCAGGACTGAGCCAGGACTGAGCCAGGACTGAGCCAGGACTGAGCCAGGACTGAACCAGACTGAGCCAGGACTGAACCAGGACTGATCGAGGACTAAAACAGGACTGAATGAGGACTAAAACAGGACTGAGCCAGGACTGAAGGAGGACTGAGCCAGGATTAAAACAGGATTAAAACAGGACTAAAACAGGACTAAAACAGGACTAAAACAGGACTGAGCCAGGACTGAATGAGGACTAAAACAGGATTAAAACAGGATTAAAACAGGACTAAAACAGGACTAAAACAGGACTAAAACAGGACTAAAACAGGACTAAAACAGGACTGAGCCAGGACTGAGCCAGAACTAAAACAGGACTAAAAGAGGACTGATCCACGACTGAACCAGGACTAAAAAAGGACTAAAACAGGACTAAAAAAGGACTAAAACAGGACTGAAGGAGGACTAAAACAGGACTGAAGGAGGACTAAAACAGGTCTGAGCCAGGTCTAAAACAGGACTGAGCCAGGACTGAGCCAGGACTGAGCCAGGACTGAACCAGGACTGAACCAGGACTGAACCAGGACTAAAATGGTCTCAATCTTGGTCTCACTTCTACAAAACACATTTATTCGCCTTGTTTTACTGTTCAGGTAACAGAAGGTTAAATATCTGTGATAAAAGTTAGATTAATGTGCAGCTTTGTCAAATCATAACTTGGTTTGGAGGGACAGAATGTGTCATAGTTCATAGTTCATTGTACAGACTGTCCCAAAAAATGTGACATCATTTCGCAGGACAATAATTTTGACAATTCTTGAAGAAATAATCTAAAATTTTCACAGAATGTAAAGAAACAGATGAAGATTTTATATTTAATGTTTTGTTTTTGTTCTGTTTTCAGGTTGAGTCGTTCACTCCCAAAGAGAATCATTTTGTGTCTTGGAATCTGCTGCTCAAACTCACCCAAGACTGTGCAGCTTCAATGCAACATTTGGAAAAAACTTCACCAACTGACTGACAAATTGGCACCAAAAATTTGAAGTGGAAGTATCTGGTAGAGCATCATCAACATCAAAAAAGAAGGTGGAGCATGTTTGTGAAAAACTCTTGCGAAGCCCCAACAAATCTATAAGGAGAACAAGTTTGGAAACCCAGATTCCTCCAGGGTCGATTTGTTGTACCAGGTTCTTTAGCCCTGCAGAATCATCCTCCCACTTTACATTTTTGGTACCAAGTCCAAATTTGTTTACTAGCTGGTGAAGTTTTTCCAAATTTTGCGTTGAAGCTGCACAGTCTTGGGTGAGTGTGTGCAGCAGATTCCGAGACACAAAATGACTTTTCTTTGGGAGTGAACGGCTCAACCTGAAAACAGAACAAAAGTAAAACATTACATATAAAATCATGATCTATTTCTGTACATTCTGTGAAAATTTCAGGTTATTTCAACAAGAATTACCAAAATTACTGGCCTGCGAAATCATGTCAATTTTTTTGGGACACTCTGTATGTCAGTCAAGTTTTAGTTTGTGAGGAAAAGTTAAGAAAAATGTATAAAACTTAAAATATAAAATCATGTTAACTATCTGTCAATGCATGATGTAACTTTTCGCTTTGGAGGTCTGCCTGGAATGTTCCACAGTGTGACATTAAACAGCTCTACTTTACATTTATTCAATTACAGGTGGTTTTATTGCTCAAAAATACCTCGAAAAACAGGAATTCTGACTTTATAACTTCATCTGGTTTGGTCTCCATGACGAGTGAAACATTCCAGACAAGAGCATTTGACAGAACCTCCGCCGGAAAAGTTACACAGTGCAGCTTTAAACCACAGGGCCTGATAATAAGCGGATCTAGGCTGAGAGGGAGCAGTGACGGGAGCATCTCGGGCTGTTTGGGAACACGTTTTTTTGGCTGTGAAATCGGTGTTGAGGATGCTCCCCGACCGCGCAGCCAGTCTACAAATCTGACACCAACAAAATGACAAAATAAACGAATGATACACGGATGAGCTTATTTGTTTTTCAAAATAAAACCAAAAATAAGAAAAAGAAAAAACAACTATTTTCTTCATTATTTGTCTCCAAAACTAAAGTGAAAAAAAATATATAGATAATGATTCGTTTTTTCAGGTTTCGATTTTGTGTTTAGATGAAAAATGGAAAAAACGGATAACGGCCGTTTACAGGACTTAACTAGTCCTTAACGAACTGAACTAGGACTAAAACAGGACTACACCAGGACTAAACCGTTTTTAGTCTCAATCACGGTCCGGTCCGGTCCCGGTCTCGGTCCTGGTCCCGGTCTCGGTCCCGTTCCCTGGGTCTCGGTCCCGTTCCCGGTCTCGGTCCCGTTCCCGGTCTCGGTCCCGGTCTCGGTCCCGGTCTCGGTCCCGGTCCCAGTCCCAGTCCCGGTCCCAGTCTCGGTCCCGGTCCCAGTCTCGGTCCCGGTCCCGTTCCCAGTCTCCGTCCCAGTCCCGTTCTCATTCCCGTTCCCATTCTCATTCCTCGGTCCCATTCCCGGTCCCAGTTCCGGTCCCGGTCTCAGTCCGTTATGTTTTTTTCCATTTCTCATTTTAACACAAAATTGAAAAAACGTCATTATCTGTTTTTTCATTTTGGTTTTGGAGACAAATAATGAAGAAAATTTTTGTTTTTTCGTTTACTTTTTTTTTGGTTTTATTTTGAAAATCGAATGAAGAAATGACACACTGATTTAAGCTCACAAAAAGGCCCTGCACCCGATTTTTTTGCCCATGTCTTTGAGCGAAACATGTCATGCCCCAGTACAGATATTGTATCCGCAGCTCTTTAGGTCAAAATACGTCTACGGTTGTTGTCAACATGATCGTGACGGCAAAACGGCGCTCTGTCGCGAAAGGTCTTAAACTCATCGTGGTGAATAATTAGGACTCTCGGAATGTGTAAGGTAAGTGAGGAATAACTCTGGACCGCTGCAAACCGTTTAAAGGCCCCACGTTATGCTATTTTCTGATCTATGTAAAGTCGTTTCCTCGTCGCAAACAGACCTGGAGTTGTGTTTTGTTTTAAAGACACAAACCCTGCGTATTTAGGCTGAGGAGTTCTTGTTTTCTTCAGCGTTTTGAAACTCTACGCATCTTCACTAGAATCATTTGGATAATTCTAGTCCTGGAATTGCCGACCTCTAAAGGTAAAAGGAGCCGTTCATTTGAAAACTACCGCTTCGTGACATCACAAAGTGGCACAGAGCATTTTGAGCAGGGGTGTAGTGGGTGTACGCCATCCACCCACTTCTCTCGACGGGAGATATTTAAAAAATTAAAAATATATAGTAGCTACAACGAGACCGGGACTGAAGCGAGACTCGGCCGGACCGGGACTGAAGCTGAGCGAGACTCGGCCGGGACTGAAGCGAGACTCGGCCGGGACTGAAGCGAGACTCGGCCGGGACTGAAGCGAGACTCGGCCGGGACTGAAGCGAGAGTCGGCCGGGACTGAACGAGGACTCAGCCGGGACTGAAACGGACTCAGCCGGGACTAAAAACGAGGACTCAACCGGACTAAAACAGGACTAAAACAGGACTGAACCAACACTAAAATAGGACTGAACCAGGACTAAAACGAGAGGGAAAACAGGACTAAAACACAGGACTAAAACACAGGACTAAACACAAGACTAAAACACAAGACTAAAACACAGACTAAAACAGACTGACTAAAACAAGACTAAAAACAAGACTAAACACAAGACTAAAACACAAGACTAAACACAAGACTAAAACAAGACTAAGGACTAAAACACAGGACTAAAACAGGACTCAGTCCTGGACTAAAACAGGACTAAAACCTGGCTCAAACCTCAGGACTAAAACACAGGACTCAAACACTGGCTAAAACACTGGCTCAGTCCTGGCTCAGTCCTGGCTCAAACCACAAGACTGGCTCAACCTGGCTCAAACCTGGACTCAACACTGGCTCAAACCAGGCTCAAACACTGGACTAAAACACAGGGACTAAAACACAGACTAAAACACAGTGACTAAAACACAGGATTAAAACACAGGACTAAAACATCAAATATTAGTGATTTCTATTGGGCTGGCACCTTTATGTTTGTACTGAAAGTGTTTTTTTTTTTTG